GCCCTTTTCGGTCCCCCCTCTGGCAGGTCCAAGCCGTTCTCCTTGTCCTGTCCCTACATCCCTTGTCCAAAGTTTTAACCACCAGACAGAGGGACTTCAGGCAGAGGTTGGGCTCAGATGTGACACACCACAGGTTTCAAAGGAGCAAGACCACCTCCTGCCCATCACAGCCCCGGGGCAGACCCAAGATCCAGCGAGGTGAGCACAGACAGGACCCATGGGCTGCACCCTCCTTGCTGCGGCAACCAGAGCATCCCCCAGAGCACCCCCAGCACCTCCCCGGCACAGGCGCTGCCGCCTCGAGGTGTCATTACACTGCAGGAGCCTGCGCTAATTACAGTGTCAGCCTCGTGCTGCAGGGCTGCTAATTGAGGTAGAGCATTACAGTGTTTCCAAACCCGGAGCCGCAGGCAGGGGCCGCAGCAGATCCGAGCGGTGCCGCTGGGGCTCTGCTGGGGAAGCAGAAGGACTTCAGGGGAAGCCAAGCTGAGCCATGTCCCGCTGCTCACCGAGAGGCTGGACCAGCATCTGCTTCATGCAAGACACACCTTAATGAGCAGGGCAGCCACATGCTCCTGTTTCAATCACAGTCAATTATTTATTAGGGTGAAAGCAGTGCTGGCATCCCATGACCCGCAGGCAGGGCTCTGGGGAACACGATGGCAGATGCAGCCTCAAGCCCAGCCTCTGTGATGCAAAAACCTCTGGATGATTTGGGGCAAAGCCCCGCTAAAAGGAGGACGTTGACACAGGGCTTTGCCATGGGTGAGCGGCCCCACAGAGCACGAACAGTCATTGTCACCCTCCCAGCCCCACGACAGCACTAGGGGCTGCTGGCAGGGCACACACTAGGTGGAAAAGAGCAGGAGGAGGAATGTAGGACAGGGTTTGGCAGGGACAGGCACCCCCATGGTGACAGAGACCCCACTGAGCTGAGTCGAGCCTCGGGACAGGGGCTGAGCACAGACCCTCTGCAGGCCATGGTCATGCACCTCTCTGGATATTAAGCTTTAATATCGTGACCTTTAAGATGCAAGAGAGAATTCCTGAGCCTCTGTAACTGTCCAAGGGCGGCTTTGTGCTCTTGGGGAAGCAACAAAAGGTTAGACCAGCATCTCTGCAGCAGCCAGGGCCGTGTTGCCATTAACCTATTGCTACAGGTGACACTTGGTTCACTCCTCTACAGAACTTCCTTTTTGTGCTTGCTGAATGACAGGAATCCCCAGACAACAGCCCAAGGCACCAAGATGCACACAGCACCTGGCTGCTCAGCCCGGCTCGAGACACTCCGTTTGAAGGGTGAAATCCAATTACTGCTCACTTAGAGCAAAACCTTCCCCTCTTTCGTGCGTGCCCACGACAGGCTGGCAACAGCAAGCGAGGCTGCAGATGTTCAAGATCCCTCCCAATCCCCCTCCCCATAAGGGGTTTGGCTGCCAAGACCTTACACTGTTCAGCCCTACCAAAAGAGCAAGATCTGACGTGACAGATCTCGTCACGAGGCACCCAGGCACCCATTTGGGGAGCACCATCTGCGAGCAGCAAGAAACAGAAGAAGGGAGAGAAGGTGGCAGCAGCCGTGTGTGATCCCCCCGGATGGCCCCGGGAAGGGGCTGCCCGTGAGCAGGGATGGACGGACAGATGGACAGGACTTACCTGGAATGTTGTGGATGGTGATAGCGAGGATCATGAGCATAATCCGCCTCCAGCTGCTGCTGCCGGGCGCGGGGGCCCCGTCCCTGGCCATAGGGAACGCCGGGGGGGTGTCCGGCAGGGTGGCCCCTGCACCCTTCCTCCTCTGGTAGGGTTCCCCGTTCTCACCTTTGTCTGCAGGGACAGAAAGACAGCCGGGTCAGAGGAGAGGGTGACAGACAGAGCTGGGCACCTCCCGCCTCCCCTCCCACAGGGAAGGAGCAGGGACAAGGACTAACACTGACCAGAGCAGGGCTGAAGGTGTGTGTGTTGCCCCCTTCATTTCAGGGTAGAGGTTTCTCCCCAAGGAAACTGCAGAGCCCTGGTTCCGTTGCCATCACGGGTACAGGAAAACCCCAAAACACCTCATTTTGATCTCACCCCAGTCACAAAATGAGTGCATTGAGCTGTATTTAGTGACTGTTTGTTCCACCACCAAAAGATTTGCCACTGCTGGTTATTAAGACATCACTGGGTAACTCCAGGGTCTCTCCCAGACCTTTGCTCCCAGCAGGACCATTACCATCAGCTCTATTTCAACCAGGTATCTAAAACCATGCCACTAAAACCTCGCCACTAAAACCTCAGCCCCTCTTGTCACTATGAACAAGCACCAGGCAGCACCATAATAAAGCCCACGCACACTGAGACCTTCAGCATGAAAAGGTGAAGGGACGCCAAGAAACAAGGAGCACAAATTCCTCCAACTCACACAGCTTTGGCTTAGTATTAAAGATTTGACATTTAGACAATATAATTCTCTCCCCCTGGATTTATAGAACTCTCTCTCCTGTCCCTTGACCCACGCTTTCCATCTTTTTGTTCACAGACACGGCATAAGGAGCCATCTGAAGCTGTTTTGATGGAATTCCAATTGCTTCCCCTGCTATTTGGAGGCAGGATGGTGCCTGGCCATCACATCACACACCGCACAGCATGTGTTTCAGCACCAATTAAGAACCTTGGGATAAGAGGACTCTTGACACAGGAGGTCACCTTGGGAAAGCAACACTGCATCTGGCCATCTGCAACACAAACACGGACACCTAAAGGCATCCCAAAACGGTCCTCAGCAACACAGAAAAAACACACAACAATTTAATATCTTTTGGTAGCAAAAAACCAGGTCAAAGACTAAAACTCCAACTTACAGAAGTGGGAGCAGGCACCTCCTGCCACCTCCCATGCACAGGAGCATCCCTGGATGGTGTCACCAGGGCTGCAAACCACAATGCTCATGCTTTCCCCCACAGGGCCACTGCAGAGCAAGATGCTGCGCTGCTAAATGTTGTCATTAGCCATATGGAGCCAGCCACTTTGTCCCCAAATCCCAGCCCAGTCAATAACACACAGTCACATTTGATGGCAGAGCCTTCCTCCAGCCCATGGGGCCGAAGATAAATATGTTTTTAAGCAACAGCAAGGACAATTAGATCCAGCGGAGCAGCTTGTCCAATTCACTGCAGGAACACTGGCGTGGCTTGGCTGGCAAAGGGGCAGCCAAGGCTAAAGCCACTTACAGATGACATCCCCTCCTTCTGCCAGACCACTGGGTTACTTTAATTGCTTGGCATGTATCCCCCTGGTCCCACAAACAGCGTTATCCTCAGCTGATGCTGACCCACAGGGCTGCACCCAGTGCTGCCAGCGGATGCAGAAAGGTGCAGGAATCTCCCTCTGCCATTAAGGACTTCCCAGGGAGAAGGAAAAATACCACGTAAACCATTTTGAGAAGAGCACTTACATTCAAGTGACAAAACATCAGCACTTCTCCCTTTATAAAGAGCAACAAGTGTTCAATAAAAGCATGAGTGACCACAACGCAGCGACAGCGCAAACTCTTGAGATGGTTTTTGTGACGTATAAATGCAGGATGGATGCTGGAAGTGGAGGTTTGGTGGTTCTGGGGAAGCTTTGCAGTCTGCAGACTCTGGGTATGTGCTGGGGGAATGCAGGGAACGCACAATGTGATATCAGTGATTTGGTTTTTCTTTAAATCAGGCCAAAAAACCTGGTGCTGACAGTGCAGCAGCACCTCCACTGCACTGTCATCGCTCATAGCGCCAGCTGGGAACAGTGGTACTGACACCAGGCAGGGTGCTCCATCACTGTTTAATTCTCACCAACCCCCCAGTGAAGACTTTCTTCCTCATACCTAATCTAAATTCACTCTCTGTCTGTTTAAAGCCATTCCCCCTTGTCTTGTCACTACTCGCCCTTGTAAAAAGGAAACCGGGATGTCTCAGTTGTATCCCCATGGTTTAGGCAGAATGAGCCAAAAAACCCAACCCCTCCCAAGCTGCTTTTCACTTGGCACTTAACAGAACTGATCAACCAAATGTCAGCAGCGTTTCCAAAAACCTGACTTTCTGGCTCTGAACAAAACAACTCTGCCTCGACATCTGCTCTGCTCGCAAAGACGTTCATTTGTCCCACTCCAATGATGCTCCCAGCTCCCTTTCGGCTATTTCTTGTGCCCCATTCCCAGAGGACCACGGGGCTTGTAGCAGGGAAGGGACCACTGTGGTGGCTCGATGCTTGCTGACCCCTCAGGACACACATGGATCCTTCAGGAAGGGGAGAGCTGCTCCAGCTCCAGCCCGACCCGGCTGTCCAAGCCTCTCACGATGCACTCATGCACGGGAACTCCCAGTGCTTTGAGCTGATGGTTGATTGGGCTCTTCATTGCCTCCTTCCAGCCGCACTTCCTCCTCATTTCCCCTATCCCTGGGTTTGATGGGTTCACACTAGATCTGTGCCATCCCTCAGGACTCCTGCAGCAAGGTACAGAAAGGCCTTTGCTGGTATTAAACCATCAAAGTGAAGCCTTTCCAGCTCCCCTGTCCAGGTTTAGACCTCAGCTCCCCAACTCCTATCCATAGGTGAATTTTGACTGAAAAAGCCTGCTTTGCTGAATATCTCGCCACCAGCATTAGCAGACAGCCCAGACAGGAGCTCCAAGCACCACAAAGGACCCAGCTGCACCTCAGGGCCACCCATCCCTGCAGCAACCAGATGCCTGAGAGCATTGGACAGGAACATCCCCGCCGTGCATCCCACCCAGCTCATAGGCATCCTCTGTGAAGGAGCACAGTAAGGGATGCAATGGCCAACGTTCATCTCGTGTCTGTAACTGGGGAAGCTTCAGCTTTCCCCATTTGGATGAAATTTACCCCATTCTCCCCACCATCAAGTTACCAGAAAAGATCCATTTCCTGGCTCTCATGAACAAAAGCTAAAGCTCCATTGCAGACCAGCTCCATTGCTTAACACGAGCCTGTCACCCACTAAGGTATCATCCAGCCCCAACACACACCTACCACTTCTACGAGATCCCTTTTTGTTAATTACTACCTTATTTTACTTACAAGTCGTCTGCTTCCTACTCCTGACAAAACTTTGATGAACATTAGATGTTTTACAAGCAGATCTGAAGCACCTCCAAGGACAGCGGTGACAAAGGACGGGGGGGTGTCACGCTGCTCTGCAAATGTGGGAAAACTGTGGGGAGTAAAGAGAATAGATGCAGTTTTACCAGGGAAGTGCTGCGGGTGGTGTGCCTGGACAATCTGAACACAAAATTGCCTCTCTGCAGATTATCAGCGCATTAACAGAGGATAAAGGCAGCAAGACCAAACCGAGGGAGACAACGGCAGCAGCATTTTCCCAGTAGTGTCACATCTAACAGCGAGACTACAAACTGCACATGGGTCAAGCAATGGGCTTTACTGCCAAGTGGTGTTGGAAATGATTTAAAAACCAGGAAAAAAAGGATAATTACAGTGGAGGGATGATACCGGCACAGCGTCGGACACGGCATGGGAGGGGATGCGTGCGGCTGTCACACAAAGCACAGCACCCAGAGTGTTCCCAGCCTGAAACGTTGCATCTCACACAGGCTAAGGAGAACAAAACAATAATTACAGCAAAACACGGACTTGGCTGGAAGTCAGGAAAACCTCAATAGCAAATTAGAGTAGTGATAAGAGGAGAACAAGTGAGGGGGCTTTTAAAGAATAGCTGACACAATCAGACAAGGGTGCTTGCGAGAATGCTGCCAAGACAATTATGTGGCAAATAATTATCTGCACCACATACATTATTTTAAGTCTTGTTCACAGAAAGTCCTCCATACATTCTACTCAATTTACCATTATTGGATTTCTTAGTAAAGCTGCAGGGCAAAGATTCTGCCAAAAGTTTAATTACATGTGTGCAGCCTGCTGCATTTTTCATATCCTCTGCAGCCAGCATTGGAAAAAGATAAATGGCTTTGAATATGGCTTAAACTGCTGGTGAAATATAAAAACCAACTGGCTTCTTATCAGCATGTGAAATGGCTTTTTATTTCTGATTATTTCTTAATGAAAACTGTTTGCATTAGCCGTGAGCTCAGCTTTACTGCGCTCACAAGCGGTACACAAACAGACGAATACGCTATTTACCCTGGGCTCAAAAAAACCCTCATTACTGCACTACTTCAGCTCCCAAATTCAAACCAAAGCCTATGGAGCTCTCTAGCTTTTCACATCTGCTTTAGAGCCTTTCTCCTCCCCTCCAATTAGGCCTGGCTTTAGCCCTGCCTCTAAATGTGCTCAACCAGGCTGCTGAGCGAGGCTGTTCAAATCCCTGCTGGAAAAGCACGTGAGGAGCCCGTGCAACCCCTTTTAGGTGGCCTAAGAGCCATTTTAGGCTCGACGTGGCTCCAAACCTGCCCCTCCAGCCCAGTCCCACGGCACCGGGGAGCTCCAGCATGCCAGGGGAGCTGGTACCCCGCAGCGGCTGCACAGTCTCCTGGGCAGCATCCCAGCGCCTCCTCTTTCCCCATTCCGGAGCAAACACACTCATGGCAATCTGAAGCCTCCCTTGGCTTAGGATGCTGGAAAAATCAAGCTCCAAAAATCCTTCTCCATCTTTTCCCCATCAATTTCCCCATCAAATTCTTGCGACAAGACTCTGCCTTGCCGAGGAGGGACCTGGAGCTGCCAGCAGCTGAAGGAGGGGACCTTTGGGCTCTCACAGCAACGCAAGTCCCGTGCTACGGGTTCTGGGGTTCCTTCCTTCAGCTTAAACTGGCAAAGGATGAATTAGCACCCTCATTTGTAAAAGTCTGTCAGCTCCCACCTCTAAAGTGT